ATATCTCTTTTTGATTTCGAGAAAGTTCCAGAAAATTCTTGCGCACGATTTAAAATCTTATAAAAAAGAGGAAAACCTATTAATTCGATTAGTTAGTTTGTTGTTGTTTTAAGAGTTTGCTTAGAAAACTGCTCTTGTTGACTGTAGTGAATTCGGAGATTAGCTTTCTTCAGCTGTTTTGAATTAAGCTCTCTTGAACGTTTTGAGTAATTAAAAGATAACTACTGTGAGATATTGTAATACTAATCGAATATCTGAGGGAAAATTAAGCATTTTTGTTGTGATCATAATAAATTTTGTTCATTTTTCATCGGACTTGTGCATTCAATTCAAACGAACACGTACGCACGCAACAATTTTTAGTGTCAGAAGTGGGATTTTGAATGCCAATAACTAGAGCAATGGAAGAACAATTCACACAATTGATGATGGCATTTGCTGCATTCCAAGAAAAGATGGAAAGGGCCATCAACTCTGTTAAAGAAGAGATGAAATCGGGTCAGAAAAAGATGGAAGCTGGCCAAGAATCAGTTAAAAAGGAGATAAAGTGTGTTCAAGAAAAAATTGAAACAGGTCAAAAGGAAATCAAAAGAGAAATTACCTGTATAATAGAAAACAAATTTGATTCTATGGAATGAAAAATAGACACTGTTGAAAATAAAGTTGGAGAAATTCAAGAAAGAGTTTCTTCTGTGAAGGAAAAAATATAAGAGAGAGTTTCTGCTGTGGAGCAGCGAATCGAAGGAAGAGTTTCGGCCGTCCAACATCGAATCGAACAACAAATGGAAGAAAAAGTACCTGTCGTCCAAGAACATATCGAACAACCAATTGATGACAGGGTATCTGCAGTTGCCAAAGAAGTTGATAATTTAAATAAATTCGTAGCGATGGCAGGGAGCAATTCAGAAGGCTTTAAATTTCTACCCATGCCTACTCATTGCTTTTTGAAGCTATCTACATATAATGGGAAGACCTCCTGGCAAGTATATAAGATGCAATTTTCTATAGTGGCGAAAGCGAATGGATGGGATTCCCAAGCTAAGGCCAGTCATCTTGCCGCTTCTTTGAGAGCATATGCAGAGAATATCCTTCAAACTCTTCCAGAAAACCAAAGGCTAGATTTCAAAGCTCTGTCCGGCACATTAGAGTTGCAGTTTGCAGAGAAATGTTTGAAAGATTACAGCAGGCTTCAATTAAAATCTCATCAACAGAAGCCTACAAAAACACTTCAGGAGCTCACAACAGATGTTGAAAGGCTGTCCCATCTCATCTTTTCGGAATGCCCGACAGAAACAAGGAAAATCCTGTCCCTGCAATGCTTCATCGACAGCATCTGGGATCCTGAAATACAGAAAGCTCTATGAATAGCGGATGTTAAAGATTTGAAAAGTGCTCTAGTATACGTTATGAAATTCAAGGCAGCCCAGCAAGCCACTCATAGAGATCGCTACAGAGTCAAACCTGTGGGAGTCCACGAGCCAGTGGATCAATTGATGGCTTGTTTAGATGATTTAGCCAGAGAAGTCAATGCTTTGATACGGAGTAGGAGTGAGAACAAAGTGGCTCTAAGGTGTTGGAAATGTGGTATTGTAGGGCACATACGATGGCATTGCAGAAAACCCCAGGGCACGGATAATAAAGCAGATGATTTGATAAGACCAGTGAATGCCTTCAGATGGAATACTGGTGAGAAGAAACCAAACCTAAAGTGTTGGAACTGCAGTATTGAAGGCCACATACGAAGGAACTGCAGAACATCCCAGAGCACGGAAAATAAGAGAAGCGGGTTAAACAGACTATTAAATGCCATGGGACAGAAAAGGATTGACAAGAAACTAAAGTGCTGGAACTGTGGAGCTGAAGGTCATGTACAAAAGAATTGCAGAACACCCCCCCCCAGAGTACGAAAATTGAGACCATTTCTCAGCAATGACGCAGGAAACAAATTAATGACCACATCAAGGAACGGAGGTGGCCAGATAATGAAAAACCTTGTTTTAAAGCACTCAAGATTTCTACAATAACGGACTGTCCATCAATGGGCATAGCGTTGGAGTTCCTCGCAATATGATCATTGACACAGGCCATCATTAGGAAAGATTTAGCTTATCAGTTTAAAGATAAACTTATTTGTACGCCATTCTGTGTTACCCTTCAGACTGCATCTGGTGATAAGATCGACATAGCTGGGAACTTAAATGTGAACATCACGTTTGAAAGTGCCGCCTACTATCACACAGCATACGTGGTGGAAATTACAGATCCATGCATACTTGGACTGGATTTTTTAAGGAAATAAAATTTTTCCTTACACTTCAAAAACAACAAACAAACAAAAAATCTGAGGACATGACTATCCATCGTCAGAAGGGATCCTCATCTGGAAACAATGACGTCCATCTCAGAAAGCTGCTGAAATCTTACTAGGGTCAGAGAAAAACATCAGACTACTGGCTATTCTCCATCACAGATGCTCTTCGGTCGAGACCTTCGTCACCCTTATGACCGCCTGTTTGGTCGCCCTACAGATGTGCCTTCATCGCCTGAGAAATACACCCAAGATGTCCAGGCCCTGTTTGAAGTGACGTACAACTTTGCACGAGAGCAAGTTAATTTGGCGATGGAGAAAGTGAAGACAGATACGACACGAGAGCTACTGGACACAGATTCAAAGAAGGAGACAAGGTGTGGTTGTGGAACCCAATTCGAAGAAAAGAAGTCAGACCTAAATTACAGTCACCTTGGGATGGTCTGCACACAGTCCTAAACAGGCTGAATGACGTCGTAGTTCGGATCTGTAAGTCTTCGAACTCTAAAGTCGTTCATTACGACAGATTAGCTCATTACTATAGCCATAGTACGTAGTGTAAATAATTGTAAATTGTGTAAGACCATGGTCCTTTTTGTTTCTAAATGTGTATTTGATTTGTATTAAGTATTTTATAGTATTTGATTTGTTTGTGTTTATTATTGCATTTATGCCTTACTTGTAACTTTGGCTTTCTGTCCAGGAATTTTACTGCACGGAACATGCAGTCCTTGGGAAGGGGGCAGTATCACGGATTTCATATTTAAATAGCTAATGTTAGTTAAATTATAAATAAAATTGTTTTATTCCCTGTGCAGTGCAGCGTGTGACGAATATTAAAAGAAAGCTAAGCTGGAAAATTAAAAATACAAGTTTTGGTGTATAAATCCATTTTGCGTCCCATCATTACATACGCCTATCCTGTCTGGGGGTATATTTGTGGTATTAAAAATTCAACAGATGCAGAATGTCACCCTAAGACAAATGGCAAACTGCCAGTGGTTCATAAGAAATGAGGCAATTCATAGAGAACTAAAGGTTTACATAAATATCTCTTTTTGATTTCGAGAAAGTTCCAGAAAATTCTCGCGCATAAAATCTCATAAAAAAGAGGAAAACCTCTCAATTTGATTAGTTAGTTAGTTTGCTGTTGTTTTAAGAGTTTGTGTAGAAAATTGCTCTTGTTGACTGTAGTGTATTCGGAGATTAGCTTTCTTTAGCTGTTTTGAATTAAGCTCTCTTGAATGTTTGAGTAGTTAAAAGATAACTACTGTAAGATATTGTAATACTAATCAAATATCTGAGGAAAACTAAGCATTTTTGTTGTGATAATTATAAATTTTGTTCATTTTTCATCGGACTTTTGCATTCAATTCAAATGAACCCGTACGCACACAACAATATATTATTTAATACATATATTATGTACTAAATTTAATAAATTGGTAAACATTAATAATAAATAAAAATATTTTTATTGGTTTCTGATATTTCTCAGCAGTGTAAAAATTATTTACTGATGGTAGAAAACTAGCTCTGGTTTGGAGATAATTTCAAAAGAAATTCAATGCCTTTTACAATATTGGTATTTATTTATTTATAACAAACATAATAAAAATTTCAAACATTAATAAATCTTTCAGTAAAAGTATATTTTAGGGTACCTCTTGGCGAAACTTGGCGATTTTTGGCGGTACATGGACACTGAGTTTTTGTTATTCTTTGACTTATTATTTTGGCTTGCATACCGCCGATTTTTTAGCCAAAAATTGCCGTTACACAAAGCCGAAATAACAAGACAAAGAATTGTGCACTCCCTTCACTTTATCCATGTACACATCGATATATTTTCTCTTAAAAAGTCAAAGAAGCACCCAATTCTACAATACATTCAAACAAAAAATACCTAATCTCAATAAACTATATTTTAAACAAAACAATAAAATAACATAAAAAAGGAAAAACATGTTATACATTTAAGCACTACAAAAAGCAAATATCCACTTACCCTATTTAGAAATTCCTTTTATTTTTGTCTTTTTTAGTCTGCGGCACACAAAATTCCTTAATAAACTTCCTAAAATTATCTGAACTCGAATCCATATATGGACATCACCACATCTGAACTTTTCTTCCTACAAACCCATTCAAATCCATCTAAACAGTTTTTACGTTCAACTAGACGCACATCGTTCCTACATACAAAACACTAATAATGGCTACTAAGTAAACCTTTATTTACACACCAGTCAATTAACGCTCTTTCCCCTTTCGTTCCAAATCATACAGAAACTTCAAATTAATCTTACTACATTCAGCCATTCTAACATCTAAACAATAAAACCACCACAAAAGTGCTTACAAAACATCCCATGATTCAAAATTTTCCAGAATCATGCACCTGATTACTTCACAATAGGGTTTCCATAGCATTCAACTACTCAGGCTATCATAAATGAAACAACAACTTGGCAATAAATGAAACAACAATTTTGCCATAATACAAGGGGTACCTTAAAGTCTACTCTAACCAATCTTTCTATTAAAATAATTTAATTACTAAACCATTTTGAATGTTTATCTGATTTCATATATTTCAAATTATTTCCATAGTTAAGGTATTTTTAGAACAAATACAAATAAAATAAATACTACTTGTATGTTATTCCACAATAAAATTAAATTCACTTACCCTGTTTTATATGCCCTAACAGACTAGTTCTTTCATTGGGAACAGATGGACGTCTAGATGAAAATGGTGTGCTAGGATTAGAACTAGATGCTCGAATATCAGGAGAGTCTTGTGTAATTTGAGTACAGTCATTTGGTTGTGCATAATTAGCATAAGAACCTGAAGTACTCTGAATTAACCGCTCAGCAGATTCAATCATTCTATCTGACACACTCTCTGAACGCTCTACTCCCCTCCGCAGCCTGTTAGAAGGTAACTGTCCATAGTACTGAGACAACTTATTAGGATCAATAACAATCTTTTGGCAATTTATTGTCTCTATTTCTTCTTTCTTTAAAGAACTGATACTATCAACATTGTCTTCAAACCATTCTACTCGTAAATTGGGTTGTGATGAACTGGATGCAAGTACTCCAGATGTTACTGATTCCACTGTAGAACTTGAATATGGTGGATAAGAGGATGCAAGGGCAACTTCCAGAGATGAAGAGTTATCGACATCACTATAAGGAAGACTACCAGTTATGATGGAATCATAATTTTCAAAGAGTTTTTCCACATCCTCATTATCCTTCAATACAGTGAGGTTATGATAGGCAAACATAACAACCACTTCAAGGATCAACCAAATAAAAGCCATAAATAGCTGGAAAAAAAGGGGGTGTTAAATAAGAAGAACACAATATATAACACTAATTTAAAAGATAAATTAGAATAATTTTAATTGCTCACACACATGCATATAAGAAAAATTTACAGACTTAAAATAACTCAATTCTAGATTCTTAATTTCTAAAATATAGTTTATATAATCTGTTAATGATTCTTTCCATGGAAGTTATAAGTCTTAAACCAATAATTAATGTAGTTTTTCACAAAATGGATCCAAAGATGATCCTGTATGCCAAAGTTTTGGAAATCATTGTGTGCTTCAAGCACCAGTTGATTTTCCCCAAATCAAGGCTCCTATGCAAGGCCTAAGCCATCAAAGGCTGACCATATCAATATAACAGAGGAGCTGAATGAGAGAATTTCCGGCACACTTTACTGTCCCCCTCTTTTTAGCTACTGTATCTGTATAAAGCACATATGTTTCAAAATATTCTAAGATCTATAAATCGACATCAATCACTTTAAAATGTAACTTTTAATACGTACAATATTTACAGATCATTAATCAAACATGGTGGTTCAGTTGTCAAATAAATCTATATGCTTTCATAATCGAAAATCGAAATCTTTTAAATAGGAACCGAAGTATTCCTAATCAAATAGTGTGCGAAACATCAGCCATCAATCTATCGAGCTGCCGGTGGAGAGTCTATGGAAATTCAGAAGGCACGTCGCATTTACACGTTTACACAAAAAAGGTATGTTATCATCAAATATAATTTGACACTCAGTAAATTTAAACTGTTCTTAATCTAAGCATATGAAACTAAATTAGCAAAATAAACAATTGCATAAAACATATTCAATCATATTCATATTATTAAATCATAAAAAATGTTTTTAAAATTCTAAAGGATATAATAATTGAACTGGTCGTTTTATTATTGTTCCATCAGCAGTTTTTAGTTCACAAGAATGAACTTTATTATCACGACCACGAAAACTGTTTATCACTCTGTCACAGTTCCCCAAAAGTTTGCACTTATTGTTGCCTTCAATTAAAACAAGATTATCAACTTTTAGATCATCATAAACGTTGGGATTTTTTAATTGATGAGCTGTCCGAAGATCCATCAAATATTGTTTTTTCCATTTAGCCCACAATTGCCTAACCAATAAATCTTGATAAATCTTTCTTTTGGTCAGAGAGGACTTGGTAGAGAAATCTTTAACAATGGAATTAAAGTTGATAGGTAATGTAGAATCTTTTTCCAAAAATCAAAAATTGACTGGCTTCAGTGGCAACGGTTCCGTGTCGTCATTGTATACATAGGTCAAAGAATGAGAATTCAAAACAGCTTCCACTTGTGGAACCATTGGCAATTCTTCAAACGTTAGTAAGGCTTTACCGAGAATTTTTCTTAAGCATTATTTCATTGATTTTACTAATCTCTCGTAGAAGCCTCCCCACCAAGCCCCTCGTTCTATTAAAAACTTCCAACTGATTCTTTCATTCGACAGAAAATCTTGGAATTTCTCATTCGACAATAGTTTAGAGAAATGTTCGAGTTCCTTTTTTTCCTTTTTAAAAGTTTTTGCATAGTCCGAATAAATTACTTGACAATTGCCTCTCCTAGATGTGAATCTTTTGAATGCCATCAAGAAAGAATCTGTTGAGAGATTCGTTACAAGTTCCAGATGTATGGCTCTGGTGATAGCGCATGTAAATAATGTTACATAGGCCTTTTGACTTCCTTTTTGACTTTGTTTTTTACGTAAATCGGTCCAGCAAAATCGATACCAGACACGTAGAATGGTGGTGTCTCATTGATTCTGTTTTCTGGAAGTTGAGAAGTGGTCTGGTTAGCAGACTTCAACGAATATCTTTTACAAATAAGACACTTGTTTATTATTTTCTTGATAAATTGACGTCTTTTTTCGAATTTCAGCTAAGGTCGTTGCTACTCCTCCATGCATCATTTTAACATGTGCACTTTCTACTATCAAATTCGTTAGCCAGGAGTCTCTTGAAAGAATTGTCAGGTGTTTTTCATCATGTGACAAACTAGAATGTTCTAATCTTCCACCTGCTCTCAGTATTCCGTTTTGGTCTAAAAATGGGTTAAAAGATTATAAGGATGATTTCTTTTCGACTTTATTCACTTTCTTCAGAGACTCAATTTCTTCGGGATAGAAACGTTCTTGTTCAGATCGAATCCAATCATTTTCGGCATCCACTATTTCTTCAGTCGTTTTGGACCTGTCAAATGGTTTGTTTTCCTAATTTTGCTAATGAATTGCTTCATCCAACCATTTATTCTCAACAATTTTCTTAAATTACTATATTTTGAGATGTCTATTACCCTTTCTTCAACTGTCGTGCACACAAATTCATAAATACCATTAATGTTCTTACGGTATTCTAATTCTTCTTCAATGACAGGTTTCTCTTCATTCTGTCGAGGCCACAATTCAGATGACATTCTAAGCCATTCTGGTCCTTGAAACCAGATAGGATTGTTTTTCAACTCGTGAAGTTTAGCTCCTCTCGAACCCAAATCAGCGGGATTACATTTACCGTGGCAATAATGCCAATTTTCTGGGGATGTCAAATTTTGTATTTTCTGAATACGATTTTTAACGAAAAGCTTAAATTTCTTTGCACAGTCTTTTATCCAGAAAAGTGCGATTTTCAAATCAGTCCAGAAAAAACAAGAAAGTTGTAACTTCAAAACTTTAGTGATGCTAGTGCCCAGTTTAGCGGATAAAAGAGCTCCCATTAATTCCAACCTAGGTAAGATGAGCAGTTTTAAAGGCGCTACTCTAGTCTTTGAAGCAACAAAAACCGTAAATATTTGTTCATTCCTAGAAATTATACGCAGATATGCTACTTTACCATACGCCCTTTTGCTAGTGTCAGAAAAACAGTGCAGTTCAATCCTTTCCACATCACTACTTCCGATTGCAGAAAAATAATACCGTGAAATACCGATTTCGTCCAAATTGGAAACTTCTTTGCACCAGGTTTTCCAAACAGAACATAAATTTTCTGGTAGTTCATCATCCCAATCTAAAGCAAGTGTCCAAATTTGCTGCAATAAAATTTTGACTCTAAGTACAAACGGTGATAATAGACCTATAGGATCAAAAATTCGTCCTGTTGCTTGTAGAAGAAAACGTTTAGTATTAACTTGTTTTGATATAAATGTTATCAAATTTTTTACAACAAAGTAAATTATGTCACTTTGATTGTCCCAAGCGACTCCTAACACTTTCAATGGAGGATTTCCAGCTTCCGAAACATGACTAGATTCCTCGGATTCAATACCTTCTCTAATCCATAATTCGAGCAGTTCTTGAGAATTGGTGTGCCATTTATATAGAATCATACTAGCATCTCTAGAAATGTTAACACATTCTAAACTGGTATTGAAAGCATGTTCAACGTTTTGGTGTCCTCCAATGATGTCATCTACATAAATGTGATCATTTAAAAATTCACAACTGGCAGGGTAGGTTTTCTCATATTGTTTCAAATGGTGTTTAATGGTTGCAGCCAGTGAAAACGGACTGCTATTTATGCCAAATAATAAGAAAAGCCTGCTTTATGTCACTTGTAAATGCTACAGGATGAAGCCTGAAGGCCAACAGAAGTTCAAAAATGTCAGGATACAAATTTGGATCAATATGCAAGCAGTCATTTAACGAGATTTCACCAGGTCCATATGAAGACGCGTCGAATACGATACGTAGTTTACTAGTAGTTCGATCACTACGAACAATTTCTCTGTGAGGTAAATAAAATGTGATTTGAGATTCACTATCAACAGTGTCTGGAACTGGTTCAATGATGCTTGTTCTAAATAATCTAGTAGAACTGTTTGGTACGAATAAAAGAGTTCAGGGTTATTCTGAAATCGCTTTACAAGTTTCTCAAATCGTTTCAGCGCAATCGCTTTATTGTCATGTAACTCATATTTTCTATCAGACTTCCATGGCAGCCTAACCTTGTAACAAGAATTTTTGTATAAAATTTCCGATTCGAATTTTTCCATTATGGTATTGTCTAATGGGTCGGATGTTTCATTCTCAGGTTTTATTCCTAAACTTTCAAGCTCCCAAAATTTCTTTATCTGATCAGATATTATATCTTCCTCAATTAAAGGCTGTGGACGTGTGTGTTGTACCTTTAGTGTAACCTAGCAGAGACCAACCGAATAACGTTTCAGCAGCTATTAAATGTTTGTCTAAACACTTAAGTTTCCCAGTTACTACATCATAATAATGATCAGCTCCTATCAAAAGATTAATTTTTTTCTTTGAAATCCCAAGAATCTGCGAGTTGTAAACCTTCTAACTGTTTGCCTAAAATGTGTCTATCAAGATTAGGAGGTGGTTAATCAGAACTTGAAATTTGTTCAGTTACGAGAGCTTCAACTTCGATTTTCAAATTCGGTGTTTCCTTGTTCTGTAATTTTATCTTAACAACGTCAAATGTTTTTCTAATGGGTGTTTTATTTCCAAACGTAAATACCGAAAGAGTCTCTGTTCGAATAACAGGAAGCTTCAATTTATCCGCGATTTCTTTTCTTAGGAAGGAACGCATACTACCTGATTCCAGTAATTAAAACCGACTGCGTATTCGTTAAAAGTGTTATGCAACACGTTTGAAGCGAAATAGTTTTAATTTTGCTGCGTGAGAATGCTGAAAGAATATGCGAACCTTCTATACTTTTATTTTTTTCATTTCGTTCTTTCTTTCTCAGCGCGAAAGCATATTGAACGGTTATGTCGACCTTTGCACTTGGAGCAGACGAGATCGCTTCGACAGTGCTTGCTTTATGCGGTGGTTTGATTTCAGGCAAAGGTAACATTTGGCATGTTTACGTAATAAATTTCTCTTCTCATCAACTGTCAGTGATTCACAGTCTTCAGTAACATGTTTGGATGTATTACAAAACAGACAGCAATTAGTAGTTTTGTTTTCTTTAACCGGCGCCAGCAGCTGCTGAGTGGAATGGACGATACTCCCTT